GGGTGGTTCTGTGCCGCTCGGGAACTTCGGTTGGTGTTTGTTTTCCGCTGCGGAGAAGTTAGAAATTGATTAATTCATAAAAGGAGCAGGAGAAGTCACGGAAACCTTAAAGAGTTGTCTGTTGAGGTGCTGCGGCTCAGGCTAATTAGGGTGTTACGAAAATTAATTGGGAGACATGAGTGCAGTAGTTGGAGGGAGACGGTCTTGTTAAGAAACCTCTTGTGTTAAGCTGTTCCCAAATATTTCCAAGGGTATTACATGCAGTTGGGATTGCTTAAGAGATCGCAGACAAGCTTGTGTCTGTTTATGCAAATATAGAGAAAGAGAAAAGAAAAAACGCTTCCCCAGGCTACGGTATCGTTTCTTCCCTAAAATTGAAGATCAGGTAGAGATTTGGGAAAATTTCTCAACTTTTTCAACACCAGGAAGTAAAATCTCTCCCTATGAAGTGGTGGTGAACCCCTTGTTTGGGGATGGAGGGATGTGCTTTGGGAATGTCCTGTGCTGCGCTGGCAGTGAGCACGGGGGGGTATAGACTGGCATCCCTGATGAGTTCCAACGAAATGGAGGAAAATAGTTTAGTTTGATTAAAAATGTAAACACACAGTGGTCTTAAAGTTCGTTGCATAATTGCAAGTGCAGCTGTGCAGCTTGTCTTTATGTAACAATTTTTTCCCCTCGTTTTCTGTCCATCCTGTGATTGCCTTTTTTATTAATGTGCAATTATTTGTGTTATAATTTGTGTAATATCTTAAATGTTCTTAGAAGAAAAGCTTGGTAAATGCAGCCGGTACTAAAGCAGATGACGTTTGAGATATATTTCACTGTCTTCATTTCGGAGAGTATAGGGAGAGAGCTTTAAAATTGCTTTCTGCTGGTTCTAGAAAGGATTATCTGCAGGGTGAGATCCGAATGCAGGCTGTGGTGCTGCAGAACCCAAATAAAGTGTATGTCCTTAAAGAGGTCAATACACAGCTTCACAGATGTCATAAACCGCAGACGTGGGTCGAAGGTCTGATTCTGGACTTAAAATTGCTTTCCAGTTTGCTCCGTGAGCCTCAGTGAGTCGGGGTTCCTCGACAGCTGGGTTTATCTTTCCATCTTGACATGTTCTCCCTCCACCTGAAGGTTCAAGTGTTGCGTTTCCAGCCACTGAACATCTCCACCTACAGACTCGCGACTAACAGAGGCTTAAGTTTATTTTCCTTTAGCTTGGATTGCTTTGGAAGTTGCCAGCTACTTTGGCTTCCAACAAACCTACTTGTTGTTAGCAAAATATGCTCTTTTTATTCTGCTGCAGTTTAGAGAGGTTTGTGGTTTATTTGATTTACTTCAGGAGACCTAAAGTGGAGATCTTATCAGCACAGTTGTTAAACAATCCCAGACAGGCAGTGCAGTGTGGCAGAAAATTCGTGTGTAAGTGATCCTTAAATCAGGAAGTCTCTGCTGGTGTGTGAAGAGATCACCAGGAGGTTCCATTCCATAGTTCTGAAACCTCCTTACTGAGAAGTCCCAGCTTAAATATTAATATTAAATGTGATGCAGAGGTTTTCCTAAGTTCAAATGGCCATCTGACCCGTGTAAAGACAGTATATTAGAGTTTCAAACTCTATTTGATGCAGCAAGGTCTTGCTTTGGTTAGTGTGGGTAGGCTGCCTCGTTTGAGGCTTTGTCTGTACGGTCTCAGGAGCCCAATTAGCTCGACTTGAAATCTGCAGCACTTACTTGGCCAGGGAAGCAAATGTTAAAGCTGCCGAATATAAATCTCGTTAGTACAGATGCACACTTTGTACCATATACCAAGGAATTACTAAAGGTCACCTCTTGGTAAAAGAGTTCTCGCTCGTAATGAGAACTGCAGCCTTGATGAGAAAAAGATGTGTAATGTAATTTCAATTAACTGGCACTGGCTGTGTTTGCCGTTTGGTCGGGGAGAGGCCAGAACAGCGTGAGCAGCCCCTGTGCCCTGTTGGCACGTCGGGTGCAGCTCAGCTTTTCTGCAAGGTTTTGGTTAGTAAGTATTAATTTTTGAGGGAGGGGATAAGGGTCATGTTCTAGTCTAAAATTGCTTGTTTGTAATTGTCTAATAACATAATGATGTAGGTGAAGCTGAAAATGATAATGCCGAGCTGAAAAAAGATGAAAATGGTCTCAAGACAGGGGTTTTCTACTGAAGTTCTACTAGGTAGTGGGATATCCTCCTAGGAAATTTTTGTCTTTAAAACCAGTCTGGTGACAGCACAGTGATACTCTGTCAGGGGACAGGTTTCCTCTGCCTAAAGTATGAATCACATGGACAAGTAGATCTTCTCACTTAATGCTTTGATAGCTTGTGAGTGCTTAGTTTCTAACCTGCTGCCTCTTAAAAGTCATTGAAAGTCTCCCAAAGGCACACCAAATTAATTTCTCCTTTTACTGAAACAAAGAGCTTGAGCTCCATTGGTAGCAAAGAGCTGTTGCTGCAGAACCTGCTCTATTATACATCTCTTTTGTTGCTGCAATGATCTAGGTGGGGTAATGACAAAAGCTTGTTTGTTTGAATGACTAAAACTAGCACAGTGAGATGAATACTTTGTCTACAAAATGACATGTTTCCTGAACGTTTGGCTTAGTAGTAATTGTACAAGGAAAATCTGTTTTTCACTGCTGGCCTAACAGCACACACTCCACAGTAAAATTAGAAGTAGCTCTCCGGAATGGTCTTGTCTTCTGGTGTAACAGTGTATATGTTGTTCTTGTGCAGATTATCTCGATAATGGCAATAATAAAATGGCAATCCAGCAAGCGGATAAACTGCTCAAAAAACACAAGGATCTTCACTGTGCAAAGGTGAGTGTGATTGCGGGTGCCCCAACCTCCTTTGGAGCGTAGCTCTGAGACTTTG